TTTGAAAGGATCTCACATTGAGGAGGGGGGAGGGCTGTTTTCTTCTGCTCTAGAGACTAGAGCGGTGGATTTAAGCTGCAGGAAAACAGATTCCACCTAAACATTAAGAAGAACTTACTGACAGTTGGAGTTGTTCAACATAGGATTATGCTGCCTTGGATTGTGGTAGTATCTCCTCTGGATATTTTTAAGCAGAGGGTAGATGGCCATTTGATGGGAGTGGTGACTGGGTGTTCCTGCATGGTAGGAGGTTTAAAGAGATGGCCTTTGTGGTCTCCTCCAACTCTAGGGGCCCTTCCAGACCCTATATCCCAGATTTTACTTTAAATTGGATTATATGAGTCCACACTGCCAGATAATCTGGGATAAGCAGAAAACCTGGGATCAGATCCTGGGATATAGCGTTTGTCTGGAAGGGCCTTAAGATTCTATTTTATGACTAAACCCTGGTTCACTTACAGATACAAATCAGACACAACAAACTAAAATTCAATAAACTAAAACCCATTAAATACAGATCAGGCTTCAGAGTACATGGAGTGAGCTGCAGGTTTTCACAACTGTAGCTTTTTACAAGGAAGTAACTTCAGTTCAGAAAATCTTAAAACATGTTACTCACCCAAAAAGAACTGGATATGTTAGTTCTACCTATCTATATTACATTTTTTTTTTAAAAAAGTTTGCTTTGCTGTCATCTCTGTTTGCAGTGGTGTCAAATCTGTTGCCTTCCAGATGTTCTGGCTATTGGACAAGCTGCCTAGGGCTTCTGGGAGTTGCGGTCTGAAACATCTGAAAGGCCACAAATCTGAAACCTCTCTGCTAGAGGTGTCAGATTTGGAAAATTGCAGACTCAAGATGTTCACACAGTCTAATAGAGAACTATTCTGACCTGAAGCTGAAAATGAGAATTAACAATTAAGGGTGGAAAGGACAGAAACAGCCAGAGAAAAACAGAATTTTCTCCATCATCGTATTGCCAAAGGAACAAGAAGAAATAAACGTTTTTCCCTTTCTGGGATCCTTTAGCTTCAAATTTTTAACATTTATTGGTTTCCATAAACTCATGTAGGATTCTACAAGAACAATCAATGTATAAGTGACAATTCATGGACAGCTACACCATTCAGAAATAAAGTTCAATGCAACTTTTAAGGACTGGCTCGCATTAGGTGAAAGCTTACATAATTACTCCCCAACTAATTCCAGAGGTTTCTTTTGAAATGTAACTACCATTCTAGAAAGTAGAAATGAATTGTGGCTGAAGATAATACCATAGCAATTCGGTAAGTTATTAGGAAATAATGTACATTAGAGAACAGCAGTGAGAGACCTCACAACCACTGATACCTGCCATAGATGTAGGCAAAGCATCAGGAGAGAATGCTTCTGGAACATGGCCATACAGCCCGAAAAACGTAATGCAACCCAGTGATTCCAACCATGAAAGCCTTTGACAACACATCAGTCAAGACAACTAGTACAGGAATAACTTCATTAAGAAAGCCTCTGACAAAGATGGTCATTGTATTCATATATGAAGTACCAAGCATATAAATACAAGAATACCCACTCCTGGATGCAATGGTGCAGAGGCTTGAGAAATTCAATGCCCTCCGCCTAAGAAAGAAGCAGTTAGCCTCACCCAGGACAGAAACAGCCTGGATCTCAAGAGAATTTATTTTTTTTGTTGCTAATAGTGTTTACATTTCACTGCCTTGATTTTACAACTCTTTGTCTCCCAGAGCCCACACTGCCAAAGAGAGGAGAGGACTCTGCATACATGTCTAAACCTTAAGACTATCTTAACTGAAAACAACAAAAACATCTTTACAAAATCAGTTACTTTTTCTCTTCTCCTATATGATTTCTAACACTTTTGTCAGAGAAAGAAGCCCATGGAGCTCCAAATATCTGCATGATGTGCATTTTTGGCCAGTCCACTGTTTTGGTAAGCAGATTTACGGTTTCACACTCCAATAGTAATGAAACACTATAAAGATCTCACCCAGCCCTTTGAAAATTTAGTGCAAGAGATATGGTTTCTTTATGGATCCCATTACATTCAACCCCACTCCCACAACACTATAAATAGGCTTTATAACATGTAACTTTAATATTGTGGTTCCACGAAAGTGCATACAAAACCCAGTCAAAAAATACTGCCACATTGTTCCCCCTCCTTTCTTCCTCTTTTTTACAACACAATTGACTTAACACAGCTATTTCTTTGAAAGCTATTATGCTGTTGCTCTTGTTATTTTATTGCTTATTGATTTCTTGATGTTTGAAAATCCACATAGAAAAGGATGCAGAATATACATTTGGAAAAGCAAGCATATCAATACATCACACCCTAGGATCACACCCAGGATTTTCACTTTAGAATCACAGGCAGCAAACAGGGCCACACTCACTGCTGGTCAATGTCCCACTAATAGACTCCATTATTTTGAGAAGAGAGCTGCAATTTTAAAATAATAATAATAATAACATTTATTTATACCCTACTACCATCTCCTGAGGGACTTGGTGCGGCTTACATGAGGCCGAGCCCACAATACATCAATGATAAAAGCAATAATAACAATTAATACAGACAATAAAATAAAACTCATAACAAAAAAGAAACAATAAACAATAGCAGTAACACAACGACATTTAAAACCTATGGCAGGGCCAAATGTAATAATTAAAATTTAAGAATAATGCTGAGCATGAACAGATGAAATATGAACTAGGATAGAGTTTCCAGAGAGGGATGGGGCGTGCAGACATTCCTAGATCAACAGTAAAGTGCATTTTGAGGACATATTGCTGGGAGTTTCCTTAATCCTCCAGAGAGCTGTTGACTCCTCCCTAGTGCTGAAAAACCAAACTTACAAATCCAAGCGTGTTGCAACATGCATTTCCAGTTGATTTACTTCTATTATTATTATTATTACAAAAAGGCCTTGACTCTAGTGTATTTGCACAAATCTCTTGTGCTTCTAATAAGGGAATACTAGTATACAATGAAGTGACATCCACTGTCATAAGGATGGCATCTGTGGGAATGGAAAGCTTTTCCTATGATGTTGATGAAATGTCTGGTGTCCTTGATATATGACATAGTTTGTTTGACAAAGGGCTGTAGGAAAAAAACAACAACCAACTGACCTATTATTTATTTATTTGCGGTATTTCTATCCCAACTTTCTCAAATCCAGTGACTCAAGGAGGCTTACAACCAGGCAGCAATTTGATGCCTGACAATATTATTTATTTATTTACTATATTTATATACCATCCCTCTCAGCCCACAGGCGACTTGGGGCGGTTCACAGTCAGTACCAAGACCATAAAATACAATCAAAAACATTAAAATAATAAAACCATAGGAAAGCCAATAACAAACATATATCATTGGCGTCTCCTTGCTGAAAACATCAACCAATCAATATACAATTAACAGAGATAAAATAAAAATACATTCAATAAAACATATAAAACCTAGAAAGAGGTTCGGGGACTGAGCCGGACCCAGATACAATAGACTGGTCTAGAGGTGGCCTGATGTCTTTCTTTATGAATTTTAGGTAGTTTATTTTGCCTCCCAAATTAGGCAAAAACAACCTTTGTGCACCCTAAAGCCCCAAAACAAGATTTTCTTGAGGTTCATCTCTACACTTCAGAATTAAAGCAGTTTATTTGATGCCACTTTATTTTTAAAAAAATGCAATTATTTTAATTGAGAATAGAATATTCCAGAAAAGATTCCAGAGAAGGAAAATAATAATAATAAATAAGTACACAGGTATAGGGTATTTGTTTACATAGAAAGTAGGTGAACAATGTAATTAGAAAAGTAGGAAAATGAAAAGAGTAGGAAAGGGAAGAAACGAGAAAAAAAGATGCCACTTTATTTACCACGGCTCTTTGTTATGAAATGATGGGAATTGTAGTTTGGTGAGGCACCACCACTTTTTGGCAAAGAGACCTCAAGGCCTTGCGATACAACTCTTCTCCATGATGCCACAGCACTGAGCCATGGCAATTAAAGCAGTTTGAAAATAATAATAATAATAACTAAATAAATAAATACACCGGTATAGGGTATTTGTTTACATAGAAAGTAGGTGAACAATGTAATTAGAAAAGTAGGCAAATGAAAAGAGTAGGAAAGGGAAGAAACGAGAAAAAAAGATGCCACTTTATTTACCACGGCTCTTTGTTATGAAATGATGGGAATTGTAGTTTGGTGAGGCACCACCACTTTTTGGCAAAGACCTCAAGGCCTTGCGATACAACTCTTCTCCATGATGCCACAGCACTGGGCCATGGCAATTAAAGCAGTTTGAAAATAATAATAATAATAACTAAATAAATAAATACACCGGTATAGGGTATTTGTTTACATAGAAAGTAGGTGAACAATGTAATTAGAAAAGTAGGCAAATGAAAAGAGTAGGAAAGGGAAGAAAAGAGAAAAAAAAGATGCCACTTTATTTACCACGGCTCTTTGTTATGAAATGATGGGAGTTGTAGTTTGGTGAGGCACCACCACTTTTTGGCAAAGAGACCTCAAGGTCTTGCAATACAACACTTCTCCATGATGCCACAGCACTGGGCCATGGCAATTAAAGCGGTGTCAAACTGCATTTTTTTTTTTACAGTAGACTAGACATATCCTAGACGCGAGAAAGCTTCTGCAGCAGAGCCTTAGAGAAATATGGGAAGCCTCGCTCAGTTTGCCTTTTCTAATCCTCGCCTGCAAGAGGACACGCCTGGCCCAGCTCTCCCTCTTGAAAAGGGGCCTGAAGAAGGAGCTTGGGTGGGTGGGAGGATGGGAGGCGAGGAGCCTCCGGCGAACCCGGAGAGGAAGAGGGCGGGCACACGGGCCCCGTCCTTCCTATGTAAATACGGAAGGAAGGCTCCAAGATCACAACCCTACGCGCAGAGGAGTGGGCCCAAAGCCTCGCCCTCTCCTTCCCGGGAGAAACCGCTCTTCCCCTTTCTCTCACCGCGCTGAGGAGGATCCCGCTTTGGGTCTGGACCGACGACGACGACGACGACGCCATCTTGAGCGCTACTCCCGCCGCACAAAAGCCTCACGGAGCGCCAGCTTCCTCTTTCCCAGGGCTTCGCTCTCTCTCTCAAAAGACAGGAGACTTCCGGGGCGGGGCTTGCGGGGAGGGGAAGTCCTCTCGCTTCCGCCTTCACTTTCTTTTCTGCGCCTTCTGAGCAGGAAGGATGGGGGGCTTGTTTTGTCCGCCTGGAGGCACTGCCCTAGGAAACCCCATAGGCAGGCATAGGCCAACTTGGGCTCTCCAGGGGTTTTGGACTTCAACTCCCACCATTCCTAGGCTTGAGGCTGTTAGGAATGATAGGAGTTGAAGTCCAAACACCCCAGGAAGGGGGGGGGGAGTTGACCCGTGCTTGCAATAGGGATTCAAGGCAGCTAACAATGACCATGGCACAATATAATTTAGAAGCAAGGCAACATCTTCCATATAAATAAAAATGTAATATTCATTTGTGGGATTAACAGAACTCAGAAACCACTGGACGAATTGACACGAAATTTGGATACAAGACACCTATCAGGCCAACAAGTGTTCACCCCTAAAATAACAACAACAAAAAAAAACCCAGCAGAACGGACATAAAACCCCCCAAAATACACCATATATATACACACAAATATACACACACTCCTACGAACCAGTTAGGGCATTAAGATCGTCTGGGGAAGCCCTGCTCTCGATCCCGCCAGCTTCACAAGCACGCCTGGCGGGGACGAGAGACAGGGCCTTCTCAGTGGTGGCCCCTCAGCTGTGGAACGCCCTTCCTGCAGATATTAGATCAACCCCCTCCTTGCTGGCATTCCAGAGGAAAGTAAAGACCTGGCTGTTTGAACAGGCATTCGACTAAGCAGTGTGATGATTGACTGATCATCGGAACACGGAATAATGGATAATGAGTTTGGATTCTGATTTCATTGATGAGACCTGATGGATTTGTTATATTGATGTATTGATGCTGATGTTTAATGACTTGTGATGCTATTGCTTTTAAATGCCTAATGATTTTGTATTGTGTATATCTAAACTGTTGTAAACCGCTCTGAGTCGCCTAAGGGCAGAGAAGAGCGGTATACAAATAAAGTAAATAAATAAATAAATGTACATATACACACGCACACATACACATGTGTATATATATATATACTCAAGCACACATATACACACACATCTACATACGCATGCACATACAAATATACACATGTACACATATATAAACACAAATATGCATATAGACAAGCACACACATATACACAATATACATATACACATATAAACACAAATATGTACACACAATATACACATCTTCACACATACATATGCACACACATATATACACCTCTCTCTATATATACACACACACATGCAAACACACACACACGTATATAAAGATACACAAATATATAAACACACACATATACACAGACAAAACACACATATATACAGACTGGGCCACAACAACGCGTGGCAGGGGGCGGCTAGTAAATAAATAAAAATGAAACCCACAAATATTTGTGCCATGGATGCTAAGGTCAAAATACCATAAAAATTGTTGTTCATTCGTTCAGTCGCTTCTGACTCTTCGTGACCTCATGGACCAGCCCACGCCAGAGCTCCCTGTCAGCCGTCACCACCCCCAAGCTCCTTCAGAGTCAAGCCAGTCACTTCAAGAATAATAATAATAATACACTTTATTTATAAGCCGCCACCATCTCCCCAAAGGGGACTGGGATGGCTAACATGAGGCTGAGCCCAAAATAATACAACATAATAAACAGACAATAACAAAATGCATCATAACAAAATAGGAAACAACAAATAAAATCAACAATATAAAACACCATAGTAAAACCAGACACAGAGGGCGGGCCAAATGTATGAGGTGAAATGTTAAAAAGTTAAAACCCCAGGTGAGAAAGGGATAAAAGTGCACTTGTAGGGGAGGAGCCCTACAGGAAGGAGCCATGAGATTTAGCCATTTTAGGGGCGGTAAGATGCTTTATTCTGAGGACAGCTATAGGCTAAAACCATCCATCCATCTTGCCCTTTGTCAGCCCCTCTTCCTTTTTCCTTCCATTTTCCCCAGCATAATTGTCTCCTCCTCCCCTCCCCTCCTTCCCCCCTCCCGCCTCCTTTTTCTTCCAGGGGGGAAGAGGCCTCTCCCGCCTGGCGAGTGCGAGTGTGGCTTGCGGGCGCCCGGCTCGCTCTCCGGCCGCGCTGGGAATATGGTGGGGGAAATGGAAACCAAGGAGAAGCCCAAGCCCAGCCCCGATTACCTGATGCAGCTCATGAACGACAAGAAGCTCATGAGCAGCCTCCCCAACTTCTGCGGGATATTCAACCACCTCGAGAGGCTGCTGGACGAAGCGCCCAGACACACATCAAGGAACATGAAAGGCACTCCAAACTACTCCAACCAGAGAAATCAGCCATAGCAGAGCACCTGATGAACCAGCCTGGACACAGCATATTATTTGAGAACACAGAAATGCTGGACCACTCTCACAACCACCATGTCAGACTACACAGAGAAGCCATTGAAATCCACAAGCATGTGGACAATTTCAACAGAAAGGAGGAAACCATGAAAATGAACAAAATCTGGCTACCAGTATTAAAAAACTCAAAAATTACAACAGCAAAACAACAGAGGGGAAACAAGCAGGCACATAAAATCACTCTCAACAAAAGATTCCCCCCAGGCACTTCCAAGCCATTTTATGCAAATCAAGGTGATCAGCTGAAACATTCACATCTAGCCCAACAGAATATATAAACCCTTTTTTATACTTCCAACAGACCTCACTACCTCTGAGGATGCTTGCCATAGATGCAGGCGAAACATCAGGAGAAAAATTGCCTCCAGAACATGACCATATAGCCTGGAAAAACCTACAACAACCCAGTGATCCCAGCCATGAAAGCCTTCGACAATACATAATTGTCTTCTCTAAACTTTCTTGTCTTTTCATTCTGTGGCCAAAATAATTCATCTTTGCCTCTACTATCCTTCCCTCCAGTGAGTAGTAGGGCTTTATTTCCTGAAGTATAGACTGGTTGGACCTTCTCGCAGTCCAGGCACTCTCAGAACTTTCCTGAGAGTGCAGACATAGGTGATAGTATGATAGCTGGGTCCGGAAGTATGTATGTGTGTATCAGGAATGACTCGAGAAACTGCAAGTTGCTTCAGGTGTGAGAGAATTGGCCGTCTGCAAGGACATTGCCCAGGAGATGGCCTGATGTTTTAATGTTTTATCATCCTCGTGGGAGGCTTCTCTCATGTCCCCGCAATGATACTATGTTTCTATTCAATGCTAATCGAGGTGGCCAATTGAAACATTCACACTTGCCTCAAACAGACATGAGTTCTTTCTCCCACCCTGGATATCATTCCACAGATATATGAACCCCACTGCCAAAGAGTGCTGGTGCCTCACTAAACTACAAATCCCAAGACTCCATAGCATTGAGCCATGGCAGTTCAAGCAGCATTCAACTGCATTGATTCTGTAGTGTAGAGCAGGCATGGGCAAAGTTTGGGTGATAGTATGATAGCTGGGTTCGAAAGCGCCGAGTGTTATGGAGATGCCGCAAAGGCGGCTGTGAATAAGGGAAGAGAGGGGGTGGAGTGAGAGTGGGGAGAGCTAAGGAAGGATAGAAAGGAGGGTAAGGGTTAGGGCAAGGTTTAGGGTTAGGGTTATGATTAGGGTTATGATTATGCGCATGTGCAGAAATGTTAGGGTTAGGGTTATGATTATGATTATGCGCATGTGCAGAAAAGATTGATTCTGCACTATATATATACTGGAGTGATTGAGACTTGAGGATGTGACAGTCCTTTGGAAGCTGTTCACCCTAGTTTTGCAAAAATAGTTTGTTGTTGTTGTTCATTTGTTCAGTCGTCTCCGACTCTTCGTGACCTCATGGACCAGCCCACGCAGAGCTCCCTGTCGGCCGTCACCACCCCCAGCTCCTTCAAGGTCAGTCCAGTCACTTCAAGGATGCCATCCATCCATCTTGCCCTTGGTCGGCCCCTCTTCCTTTTGCCTTCCACTTTCCCCAGCATAATTGTCTTCTCTAGGCTTTGCTGTCTCCTCATGATGTGGCCAAAATACTTCAACTTGGTCTCTAGTATCCTTCCCTCCAGTGAGCAGTCGGGCTTTATTTCCTGGAGGATGGACTGGTTGGATCTTCTCGCAGTCCAAGGCACTCTCAGAACTTTCCTCCAACACCACAGCTCAAAAGCATCTATCTTCCTTAGCTCAGCCTTCCCTAAGGTCCAGCTCTCACATCCGTAGGTGACTACAGGGAATACCATGGCTTTGACTAGGCGGATCTTTGTTGCCAGTGTGATGCTTCTACTCTTGACTATTTTATCGAGACTGGACATTGCTCTCCTCCCAAGAAGTAAGCGTCTTCTGATTTCCTGGCCACAGTCTGCATCTGCAGTAATCTTTGCACCTAGAAATACAAAGTCTGTCACGGCCTCCACAATTTTCTCCCTCTATTTTCCAGTTGTCAATCATTCTTGTTGCCATAATCTTGGTTTTTTTGTTTAGCTGCAACCCGGCTTTTGCGCCTTTTTCTTTCACCTTGATTAGAAGGCTCCTCAGCTCCTCCTCGCTTTCGGCCATCAGAGTGGTGTCATCTGCATATCTGAGGTTGTTAATGTTTCTTCCAGCAATTTTCACCCCAGCTTTGCATTCATCAAGCCCCGCACATCGCATGATGTGTTCTGCATACACGTTAAAAAGATTGGGTGAGAGTATGCAGCCTTGCTGTACGCCTTTCCCAATCTTGAACCAGTCTGTTGTTCCATGGTCAGTTCTTACTGTTGCTACTTGCCTGGAAACGGATCTGCTGTCTCCATTCTCTTCCTTGTCTGCTGCACTCGAATGAACCGGGTAACATATGCTGCAACATAAAGATGGGCAGACAGGGTTTTTTATTTCAGGAAAACAGGGTTTGAGGAGGACATTGAGTGAGTGTTGAGCTATAAAGACAGAGTTTTAATAGGAATGAAAAGGGGGAAACTCCTATAATGTTAGGGGAGCTTATACTAGAGATTTGCAATGCTTATATTTACTAC